CCTGCACACGCTGGTTGAACGCTAGATCGATACCTATACTTCCTGGGCCCTCGAGACGCTGTTGGACGCTGGTAGACGCTGGCGAACGCTGGGAGACGCTGGCAGACGCTAGATCGATATCTATACTTTCCCAGTCGCTGACGCTGCCGTACGCTCGAAACGCTAGTGGACGCTGCTGCAAAGTATGAACGCAGCCTTTTCGGTGCATATTTCTCCTGAAATTCGTGCGCGTCTGCAATTCTAGTATGATTTCCGCCCTTAAACCCAATGCTCCTGAAAGTCAGGAATTTCAGGTTTCACTGAAGATTGTGATAATTTCCGCGAACTCATTTGGAATCATCCATGTGAGCGCAGATTGAAAGAGGCCGGTGATCTACGGCGAATCAATGAGCAGTGAGTTTTTTTACAGTTGATATCACTACAACTAGTCGGGTCGCAATCAGTCAGTCCCCACCACGTTTTAGTTTTCACCACTGGTTGATTTCTTCCTGAATCGATCACTACCCGATCACCATGTAGAGCAAGGCAGTCGGAGACTTGATCTCCCCGCCTTCGGCGCGCCTTCCTCGACTGACTTACAAGAGTAAACTATTGTTGGATTTCCAGATAACTACAGAAATATAACTGTTTATGGAAGGAGAATCCTGTCTACCACTCCTTCCCTCTATCATTCCTGTCCTGTAAAAAACTATGAATTTGTGAAAAATCGAATGTTTTCAGAAGCTGGGTGTCGCCATTGTCGGAAATTTTCTCTCTCACTTACCACCCCTCCTCTGTTGTGTGTCAGGGGCCCGTTTTCCCACCTCAGTATGGTCCTCTAAAAGGCCGTCGCTTGGAGGGGAGAGGCAAAAGAAATTGGTGGACCACCGTTAGGGCAGATTGGTCATAAGAAAAGATGAAAAAGACCGGATACACCCACTCCCCCCCCCCCTGCTAAAAAGAAGTAGAAGTGTACTGCCGTGTACTAAAACGCAATTTAGTTTGGTGGAAATTAGTGTACCTGTGTAATATTTATAGGTTATAATTTAGTGTACCTAAGTATACTGTTAACGTTGATTTAATGCACTTTATCATTTATTAATCAAATAAATCTAGGTAAGTCATATGATTATTTTATTCCATATTAATTGGGAAAAAAAAAATTTGGTCTTAATCATTTCCAAATTTAAATTAGGTTTTCTGAACCTCAACGGCCCCGTTTTAAAGAACAGCTCCTCCGATAAAAGTGTCAACGGATAATTCTGATCAATTACTGAAAGCAATAGCTTGATAAGCAGTTCCTGGATCAAGAAACGCGAAAAAAAAGCATTAAGAGCTTCAACGAACACAACAAACAAAATTGCTCCCTGGCTCACACATTCCCCTGCGCCCCCGCGTTTATGGGTAATCCCCTGGCTCACAAATCGCTTTATGGCATTTCCCAGTAGTGGACAACATCCAGTTCAAAGAAAAGAATATGAAAAACAACAAAGACACGAATGAAAAACCCTTGAAATAAAGGAAAATTTCAAAAACCTGGTGTCCGACTTTGGGGTTACTGCAGTGTGCAGCTTTTGGTGCATAGCTTTTGTACCACCCACTCCAGAAATTGTTAGCATTTCGTGATTTTTACAGCGCTTTTACCTTTACGACGATGGGATTGCCGTAGTGTATGTACACTCAGTTACGTTTAATGCCACCCCCGTCCTACAACAAAGAACAACTGAGCGGCTCTCTGACAGAGGGCAGCTAGCAAGTGGGGCGGTTCAACTGGGCGGGCGTCAGACTAGAACTTCGAGCAGCTGTAGCTCGCTCCTCGCTCACTGTGGAGTCATGGGAGAGGGACAGTATCTAGCTTGAGGGCTGAACTACCTGCACAAGGAAGGACGACCATGTACTACTTAAGGCGGGGGGGCTGTCTTTAAGAAACCATGTTGTTTCAGTGAGAGTTTTTTCGACATTTTTTGTTCTGCAGATGCTGGGGCTGTCATGGGGCCGGGTATGGCGTGACACTAGCCCTTTCCTCAATTGTTGTCGCGTGCTTACCAGTAAGGGATGGAGAATGAGTTGGCGTTGCGCCAACCTACCCCCTCCATCCTCCCTCCCCCCACCTCCTCCTACATCCCAGCATACCGCCAGCTATAGAGGCCTGTGCATTTTTGCCGATAATAGCAATGAAACTTAGCTAATAATAGCAACTGCTCGCAATTTTCCGATTAATCGAAACTTTTTCAGAACTTTTTCGCTAACTTCATCGTCGGGTGCATTTCTTAATAGTTCACATAAGCGGACTACAAGAACTCCGTTATCGGATCAAATACGGCAACTTAAAACTCAACTTAGTGGAGGTGAGTATCAACAACTCGTCCAGCTTGGGAAACTTTTCAAAATTGAAAGAACGTCAATTGCCAATGGCTTATAAAGTCTGATGACCTCCAATTCAGGAAAGTTAATTCGCCACATTGATTTCAAGTGCCTGCGGCCGTGCCCTCCACAACCGTAGTGTCACGGCCCTTTCCGTGAACCTTTCTCAATTTGGAGACGTGTGCAAAACGACCCGAGTATTCGCTATGTAGGGTGGAGCTCAGACTAGCCCGACATTTGACAATAATTCTAAAGCGAGTTTTACAGAAGGTTGCCGAGCTGGAGCTTGTGAACCAGATAGAATAGAAAGCTCGCACAGACTTTTTCGCTTCGGATACTGGGCAGTTCGAGGGGTCTGGGTTTGACGCGACACTAGCCTCCATCGACTGTGGTCTTCCACAAGGTGCAGGAACATACTGGCGCTGCGCCAAGCCCTCTGAAACGTCGATCGTCGACAGTGAACAGCACTGTGGTTCAAAAAGTGTGCCCGTTAGGCAACTCTGATTTGGGGGTGCATCGCTCAGTTCTTCTCTCTATGAGATAGCAAAAGGCGCGCTACACGCAAAAGGCGCTACTGTG